GGGTGTGAGAAGAATTAGGAGATATTTGTACTACTACATAAAAAATACAATATGTGTTGCAGAACTAATGCAAAACGCAGTGCTGATACTCAACAATGCACGATGAAGTGGATCAGAAGCAACACAGTTGTCAAGAGACTTAATTGTTCACATCAACAAAAAAGAAATAATTTCGTGATATAGCAGAGCTGCTAGCTAATGTTATTTATAGTGGTAGACATATTACAGGGTACAAATGGAATGACACCCTGTACCCCCAAACATCCACATGCTATATGTCAGTTCTATCTTGCTGATTTTTTTAAGGTTTTAAAAGATACATTTTTGATGACTGGGATGGTCCAACTACAATATTCTCAGAAAAGCAAAGGACCTGGAATCTAGCACTTGGGAGGAAGAAGCCATTAGGAAGCTTCCAGTGCTTCAGGGAAACTGATTCTCAGTCGCAGACTCTGGGGGAGGGGTGGAGGGGGTGAGTATGGAGTCCAAGCAGGGCAGGGGAGGGGAGGGAGCCCCCCTCTTCCCTGGCACCGGGAGTTAGGAGAGTTACATGGCAGGTAGATCTAACCCAGGGCATTGTGCTGAAAAAGTGCCTCAATAGATTCCAGCTCACAGCTTTTCTCAGGATCCGAAAGGCAAATGTTGGTAAATAGTTGCCTAGAAAAATTTGGTTTGCAATAGGGAAAACAGAAACCCCGTGGTGAAAGGGAATTCCTCTTTTGTTTGCTCTCTGAAAGGACAGACGTGTGTGCTTTTAAGGAGGAAAGGCAGAAAACTTAAAGAACACTTAAGCAAGATGGATAGGGGAAATTGCTGTCACCCGGTCACCAGCAGGTGGCGCGTTTTCTTTAGGATTGCGTCCCCCGGTCTCCCTAAAACATCGCAGCCAGACTTGCCTGGAACCCCTCGCCCGCCGGAAATCGCTTTGCAGATAATAACCCTGGGTGTCTGGAAATGTTTAATTACGGCCAAAGCTCTCTCCTCCGGCGGCGCGTCCCGCCGCCCCTGTAGCCCTCAAGGACCGAGCCCCGCGGGTGATTCTTTCCGCAGGGTTTCACCCTGACCCAATTCAGTTAAAAGAACTTTTTCCTCACCATTCTCAGTTTGATGACACTCAACGTGTTTCTACTGTATTTGTTTCCACCTATGGACAAGCGGATGGTTCACTTATCTTAGAACTTAGATCTGGGATGTGTGGGAAATAATTCTTACACTCATATTTGTACAAAGTAACCACATCTTTTACTCTCCTGTCACACTTGATCCCCAACAAAAGGCATCATCACCCCATTTCAGAACTCAGCCATCCCATGCATCTTGCGCTTGGTAAATATTCTTCGTATAAACCAAGGGCGCACACCCGCACGGGTGCATTGCTACATTTGTTCAGGTGACAAATAGATGTAAGATTCTTAGGTGCCCTGATAGAAGGCAGGGGAGGGAACCCTGGGAACCCAGTTCACTTTCCCTTTCAGTTTTGACACTGTGACGTGTCTGTGGCTGTCTCGATGTAGTAGCTCTGTGGGTCCCTGGGTGCTGTGCTCCCAGGCCCCTATCAGAGTGTGTTATTTGCACAAGTGTGGGAGGTGTGTGAGGGTGTCCAGCCTCCCCCTTGCATCTTCTGAGCTGGAAACCTTTCTGCCCCCAAGCTGGATTTTGATCTGATTGATCTTAATGGTTCCAGAGGAGCTATTGAGCAATTACAATCCATCATGTAAATGAATACAGGGGGATACCTAAATCTCCTGGTTCTTTGAAAGTTCTGTCCCTGTGTAAAGGGGGGGACATACACCGCCCCTGGTTGCCAGAAAAGTAGTGACAGGGAAGCTTGCATTGGAAGGAAAGGCTCACAAGTACTAAGTAAATTCCATTTTTTAAAGATGAGGTCATTTTTGTGTAGCCTAGAGAGGGGAGAGGAGGGGTTTGTGTTTTATCCAAAACACCCCCAGAGCAATATAGTTAATTTTCTGGAAGCTGCTCGATTTTCACTCCAAAGACAAACTGGGGCACTTTCCTTCCCAGTGGGCTGGAGTTGGGAGAAGGCAGAGTGGGCGTTGGGAGGTCAGCAGAGCCTGCCACTGCCCTACAGCATCCTGGAACAGGCAAGGATAAAGGCCCACTCTGTTTGGGAACCCCGAAACTGATACTTAGTGACTGCCCAGACTGTCCTGCGGTAGTTCCCTGCAGGGTTCCACCAGCACTCCCCAAATGTATCTGGGAGCTAAAGGCTGTTGATTACTGGGGGTGGGGTCCCAAGGCTGCTGGGTCATCTGGCCTGACCCCTCAGGGTGAAGTCCCTGGCACGGAAGGAGCAGTGGCCGAGATGGACTGGGTCTGGCCGCTGAAGGCACAGATAGAGCAGATGCTGCAGGGTGGGAGACAGAGTGCCCAGAATGTCCAGGAACAGGGGGTGTTCAGACAGAGGCTGGCCATCTATATGGGGTTTCTGGTGCTATGGTTAGTCTCCTGCTACCAAGCAAGTTTATGAAATGGAAAGTGACGTCCTGGAGAGTCCTAATCTGGCTTCACTGAAAAGCACCCTAATAGTATGCTGAGGTGTTTGGGTTTTACCCTCCTTAATACAGCTGAGCCTCAGGTCAAGACATCAAGCTGAGATTAGGCCCCTTCTCCCTTTCCCTTAAATAGGCAGGGAAGGGAACCCCAGGGATGCTCTCCCTGTACCAAGGGGCACAGGGGGCTTAGCTTCGGGACTTCATTCCCCCCTACCCTGCCCATACTGGAGGGAACCAGGACCTTGGCTGGCCTCAGGGGAACCGTCTCCACAATTGGGGGTCACCTTTGTGGGAGCGGATGGAGGACCCCTAAACTACAAGTCAGTTCATGAAATTCATCCTCCCTGCTTTCTGGGGCTGTGCTGTTGGGTAGCAGGAAGGTCCTCCTGCCCAGTCAGGCCCCGCCTTCATCCAGACTGTACATTGTGAGCTCAGGCACCCCTCTCTTTCAGACTAGCTCCAGACAAAATAGCCAGACACCAGGAGGCGGCACAACTTGAATTGCTGAACTATGGGGCCAGTCCCAAGCTTACATCTCATAGTCCAGTGCCAGGATCTGGCCAAGTCAGAGTCAACCTGGGAAATATCTTGTCCAGATAACCTGGGAAAAGGAGCATAAGGCAACCAGGTTGCATGGCCCTTTCTTAGAATTGCTAATATTCTCTAAGGACTCCTCAGAGTCTTCTAGAAAGTCTTAAAGGCCTTGTGACCATGGGTCCTGCTTCAGAAGAAAAAGTCACAAGAAAAGAAAAAGGGAAGACCTTCATTTGTGCTGTGTGGATCCCTGAGAGGGGCTGGGTTTGCTGCCCAGAAGGCTCCATCACCCCTCCTGGTTCCCTCGGGTCTGGGCAGGGGGTGGGGGGCATTTCCTACCAGGGAGACTGCTTTTGAATTGCGATGCTGGTAATGAAGTTTCTCCAAGGGGTGTCTTTTCATACACCCTAATAATGGTTCATACACCACCCCCTGAGCTGGGGAGGGAGAAGGCAGTGCCTACAGGCTTCTCCTGGAGCTTTCCCTGCTTTTAGCACTGTCAAGGAAGGGAGTGATCTCAGTTTCAGCTCCCAAAGGCCAGAATGTCGCTCCATCCTGGCAGCTGCCAGAATTCCTGCTGCACAAATTTGTCCAAGTCCGTTACTCCAGCACTCAGGGGACCGGTGCAGTCCCTCAGGGCAAACGCTGCACTCCCTCTTTCTCCTTTCTCCTCAAACCAAAGTTACCTAAGGCGCTCAGGTCAAATTCTGTTCTAAAGACCTGAGGATGCTACAAGGTCTCCCAACCGTGGCGTCAGGGGACATTTCCACCACTGTTTTCTCTATGTCAAGGAACTGCACTCCTGAAAATTCTATTAGACTTGCGGACTGAAGCTGTTCTGAGCCGCAGCTCTCCCCAGAGACAATACCTACGCGCTAGAGCGCCAAGCAAGCCAGAACCCAGGCCCAAAGGCAGGGAGGTGGGGTCAATCCAGCAACTTTGGAAGAAACTCCCAGAGGGCAGCGGTGTGAATCTGATTCATCCTTGCGGGGGAGAAACCACTCACTTTCCCAAGCCCTGTGCTGGAAGGTGAGGTGTGGAGCGGGGTCCTCAGGCTAGGGTCAGCTGGAGGTCAGCTCAGTAGCGGGAGCGGTCAGGAGAGTACCAATTTGCTCCCTAAGGTCTCAGTAGAGGAGACAGCATTTCCCCCAAGACAGAAACCTGACCCCTCTTCGTAGCCAAATCCACCTGCGCCAGCTCATCGGACTCTGAGGGCCTGGAGATCAGACCCTCCGCAGCTCGAGTGCCCGCGCGCTGTCCAAACGCCGGTCTTCTCCAAACCAACTAAGACTTCGTTAGGGGGTGCGACTGTGCGTTCATGAGGAATCCCAGCAAGTACTGGTTCCCGGGAAAAATACCTTTCATTTCCTTTCCCCACCCCGGGCTCTGATCTTTCCACTGAGCCCCGTCAGCCACATCTGGGGTCAGCCGGAGGGAGGCACGTTTGGATGTCTGGAGCAGCTCCTCGCCCAGGGCCTGCCTTCTCCCGGAAGATTCCAGGAGAAAGGCTACTCTGCCAGGGCAGACGCGCGCCCGAGCCCAAGCTGCTGCGCGGGGATCCCGGCGCACCACTCCGCCGGCGAGGCTGCGTCCCGGTCGCGCAGAAAGAGGACCTCGAAACGCGCGGGCTCAGCCTGCTCTCCTCTGCGAGCGGCTGTTTTCTCTAGCGCGACAGCGCGCCCCCGTAGGCCTCGGACGCGAAAGGGGTCGCGCGGGGCTGAAGAGCTGGGACGCAGGTCCGGGAGCCCGCGTCCAGCGAGCGCGGCGGCCGCAGTGGGCTTCCCGGGTCGGCAAAACTTTGCCCGTCTGTGCGCAGGCGCGGGACGGGGGCGGGGGCCGGGAGGGAGGGAAGGAATCCAGAGGCCAGGGAGGAGGGGAGCGAGGGAGGAGGGAGGGTGGATTAAAATAAGTAGGCGGCTCGGGGCTCAGGGATGAGTGAGTCGGAGTTCGGCCTCTCCCCAGCACGTTCTCAGCCGCTCCGGGTTCCGCGCCGACGAGGGAGCCTCGAGCGAGGGTGACCGTCCCCTGGCTGGGAGGACTCGGGGCGGCGGAACGCTCCCGCGTGTGGGGCGCTCGGAGTGCCCGCAGCCGGAGAGGGACCAGGACGCTAGAGCCCCGGGGGTGCCTGTGGAACCCAGCGCCTCAGGCTTCCCGGGTCCCCCGCTGAGAGAGCCCCAGAGGCGCGCTCAGCCCCGGGAGCACCGCGGAACCAGGTAACTGCCGCCTCGGGCGCCCCGGCTCAGCGAGGGGAGTGCGGGCAGGATCTGGGGAGTCCCTGTCACAGAGCAGCGAGTGCCTCCGCTCTGCCTCTCCCCACGTCCCCGAGGGAAGCTCTTCTTGCCAAGCGAACGCTGCGGGACCTTTGTGAAAGTGAGAGCAGCCGTACCCCCGGGGGTTGGGATGGTGGCTCTGGGACTTCCCGCGCGGGGTCCTCGGCCCCCCAGACCTCTGGGGAGTGAGGGGGCGGGTCTCCGCGGCTGCCAGCGGCGGGTCCAGCTCGCGGAATCCCGGATGAGGTGCCGCTGTCTTTGGAAGTCAGCCTGTGGGCCACCTCTAAGAAACCCAAGCAACTTCAGCCCGCACAAACTTGCCCGGGACGCGCGCCCAGCTCGCCTGCCCTACCTTAGCTCAGGACCAAGGAAGAGCGCGTGGAAGGATGGCCAGGGCCGCCGTGGACCTCAGCAGGGCAGGTGCATGCCCCAGCCGGGTTGCGCTTTTGTGCGAGTTTGTCTTTTAAGTGGCTCAGGTAGGAGAGCGGCGGGAAAGAGCACAGGGTCGCGTGCCCGCCCCGCCTCGAACTTGCGCTCTCACTTGGGGGTGTTCTCTATGGGACAATTGTCTGCGGCCAGAGGCTGCAGGGTGAAACGCCACTGTCCCGGCGCAGGGAAACTTGCGATTCGAAAGCCGCACGCCGCAGCAGTTTTCGCTTCCGTGGAGCAGAGGGTGTCTCGGTCTTAGGGCTTGGCGGGGAAGGATTCATTGGCTCCCCTGACTGCGCACCCAACCTGCGCAGAGAAGGTGGGAGCCAGAGGAGAGGGGGAAAGCGTTGAGGGGTGTCCGCTGAATAACTTCTTCCCTCCGAGTCTCGATAAAATAAAATCCCACATCCAGCCCTTCTTCAGTTTCTTGGGCAGAGCGAGGTAGCGTCTGTGAATGTAAAGCAACCGAGAAGGTTTCTTTGTTGCTACAGTTTAGTACATTTTACCCGAGCTAAGAGATGCACGCTGGCTCCGGGGAACAGAAACCACGTGCGAAGCTAGCTGGTCTTCCAGGTTCACAGCCTCTCAGAGGAGAAGGGCTGGCAGGGATCAGAAAGGGACCATCCATCGGATAGATGTTCTAACCCAGGCTTCTCGAAGTACTTACGGTTTCATTAACACAGGGGCGCAAATCTCTCTGTACTCAGCAGGCTCTAAGTGCACCAGGACAGCGACTAAAAATTCCTTCTCTCTCCTTGCTCGGGAGAATTCCACAGCAGTGTCCTAACTGGCCAGTCCTCTCGCCAGGGGGTCCAGATGCCTGTCACCACTACCGTTGGGGATTCAAAGTCGAGGGTGATTTTCTGGGGCTGCAGAGGGGGTCTTCCAGGCGGAAGCTCTTGGAGTTCGCCCCATCCTCATTAATGAAAGCAGTTAACTCGTTCACGCTCAATTAGCCCCGAATAAACCACTTTAATAGACTCTGCACACTTCATTAATGCCCAGTGTCGGGCTGCCAGTAGACCCGGGACAGGAGCCCCACCGCGCGAGGGTGCAGTGCCAGCGGGCGCCTCGAGGAACCGGGTTTGGATGCGCCAAGTGCGGCCGCGTGTAGTGGGCGCTGTCCCGCACCCTACTGTGCCGGGCCCCAAGATCTAACCGAGTGGACGCCTGGCGGGGAAGAGTCGTTCTCTGTGTGTTTAAAGATCTAAAGCGCTCCCACTGGAGACCGGGGTCTGGACGAGGCTAGCGGAGGGCTTGGGGACACCCTTCCTCTCTGGCTGGGGAGATGAGCGGGAGGCTGTTTTTGGCTCAGCTGGCCGCGTGAAACCGGATCGTGCATTGGGCCCATTCTTGGTGCGAGTGTAAAGAACCACGTTTCCAACGAATTTCGTCTCGGGAATGTCGCTGGCGAGCGCCTGGGGAGCCCTGGCCTAAGTCAAATCTAAGCAACTGGTTGCGCAGGTCAGGAAAATAAATTGAGTGTCCGGGAAACAAGATCCGGCAGATTGCTTGGAAAGGTTGGCTCCCCAGAGCCGGGGTGCTGCGAGCGCCCCTCCTCCGAGCGACCCCTGTCATCTCTGTTGGGGGGGGGGAGGCCTGGAAGGGCCAGGTTAATAGACGATCCAGGGCTTCCCGGCCCGAGCACCCAGCGAGCTCTGATCCAGCGCAGCCTGGCTTCCTGCAGCCAGGCCTCTTGCTACGCTGCCCACTGAGGTGGAGGCCTCAGTGGCGCCCGAGGCCCCGGGGAGCCGGAGGTGATAAGGATCTGGTTTGCAGCTCCAAGAGGGGATAAAGAGGTGACAGCAAATCAAAGAGCGCTCACCTCGCCCAAGTCTGGTTCGACCTTTGAAGTTGGTCAGTCTCCCCCACCTCCCCCTCCTCCGCCCAACCCTAACGGTCCGCCTTTAGGCCCTATTTTGCTTCGAAGTGTCCTGGCGGTCTAGGGTGGCCACCGGCTGCCTCCCGCAGGACCGGGCTTCCAGCCCTAGGGCAGTCGTGAGGCCCTGGGGCTGGTCTCCCACTGCACGGCCCCACTCGCCTCCCCAACCCCCGGCTGAATAAATTTCGTTGGTCAGACTAGGTTTTCATTCGATTGCTAATTTAACGGCGCCTCCAAGGATCTGCGGGCTTTAGGTATTTGCATCCCACCTTTGCCCCCAAGGGAGCCTTTTCCCTGTTGCCCACTTCTGGAGTGACCTTCCCAGTAGCTGGCCAGGGGGGAAAGGGATTTCTGGAACATGGAAGTCTGGTGCTTCCCTCCCACTGACAGCTTCCACGCAGTTGAAAGACTGCTCATTCTGGGCTTGAACCCTGTGGCCTGGGTTAGCGAGGCCAGCGAGGCTGCCTTTGTAGGAGTCGCCTGTGCTGTGGCAGCTGGAAGCAGAGGGGTCCCTGCACCTCCCAGGGGAGGGGACTCACTGCAGGCTGGAAGAGGGAGCCCAGGAGAAGAGGTGTCCAGGAGCTGAGAATCAAGACCGCAGAAGTGAAGCATCTTCTGCTCCCTGCTGCCTTTTGTAGCCTCAGGTCAGAGCCATGGGTTTCAGCCCTGGGCTCCAAAAGGCCCTTCACACTTCTACTTTCTTCCCCTGGTTTTTGTTTGTTTGTTTAATTTAAATCTCCTTCACTGGCCAGGCCTACTGTGTGTGTGTGGGGGGGGGGGTGGCGGAGAAGGCTGGTCCGGTAGAGCTCTGACCTGTCCAAGAAAGTTGAGGGTCACTGACCAGGTCGGCCAGGGCTGCTGGGCTGCTGGTCACTCCAGCCTGGCTTCTCACTGGCTGCTCTAGTTTCCAGACATTGTATTCAGAGGGTGCCTAACCCCCAGCAGCTGAGGCCCAGCCTTCAAGCTCTTGTCCTTGGGCACAGGCAGCACCTGCCAGGGCTTGCTGCAGGCACAGAACTCTTGAGAGCCCAAGACCCATCTCTCTTTCCCAGGGAGAAGGGAGGGCACTGACCCCCCCCCATGGTCATGTCTGATTGAGTGATGTAAGGTGGCTATCTGGGTCTCCCAGAAATGAGGGTGTTACCCAAGGGCATTTGTTGGGGTCAGTCCAGCGGCAGCTGCAGAGAGGCTGGTGGCAGAAGCGCTCATCAGAAGTGAGGCAGGAAAGCAGGTTGGAGGCCAAGGTTTTGAGTGTTTAGGAAAAGATGACAGGACTTCTAGAAGCCACACTGGAGCTCAGTTAGTAGCCTCGCTAGCCCAGGCCACAGAGTTCAATGCACAGGAACCCAGAAACATGCAGACAGGCATCCATTTGTGTGCGTGCTGCCAGGCTGTGGAGCTTTTCACAGGTGCGCAAGAGCCTCTCTGGGTGTGCACGCACACTCACGCACACACACTCACGCGCGCACACTCACGCGTGCACACTCAGGCTCACCCTCCACCCCCACCCCCACCCCCCGCACTTGTCCTAGTCCCTGAACTTTGCTTTGTAGCACAACTGCGGTCCACCCAGTTTCTCTTTGCACCATGTCAACTCTGCTTCAGAATGTGTGAATCTGTGTTTATCTGTCAGTGTGCATTTGTGTGTTTGTTTATCCACACATGAATGTGTCAGCTTGTGTCCAAGTTCCTGTTATCTTCGCAGGAGAGTATAATTCTGCACAGACGTGTGTTAGCCTGGATAGAACCTTCCAGATGCCAGTGACCCCGTGCTTCTGCTTTCTGTGTCCCGTGAGCTCTAGACCCCCGTTTTAAGTTGCTCTCATTGCCTAGGCGTTACTTTCCTGGAGGTTTCTATATAAAGTTCTGTGTCCCTGCCAGAGGCCATTTGGAGGAAGCCTGTGGGTTACAGAGGTTTCCCTTTTTTTTTTCCTGTGAAGTGGGGGCCACATATGAGTCGGAGACACTCAGCTCCACCCTGGGCAAGAGGGTGTGGCTGGGCTAGAATGCAGAAGTTCCACCTACCCTGACCATCTTCCCCCTCCTCCTCCCCCTCCCTTCTTTTATTTACAGATAGAGCTCGAGTCCCAACCGCAGTTACAGCAATGGGCAGCAAAACCTTGCCAGCGCCGGTGCCCATCCACCCATCCCTGCAGCTCACCAACTATTCCTTCCTCCAGGCAGTGAACGGACTGCCCACAGTCCCCTCGGACCCCCTGCCCAGCCTGTATGGGTTCAGCGCGCTGCACGCAGTGCACCTGCACCAGTGGACGCTGGGCTACCCGGCCATGCACTTGCCACGCTCTTCTTTCTCCAAAGTACCCAGCGCCGTGTCCAGCCTAGTGGATGCGCGTTTTCAGCTGCCCGCCTTCCCCTGGTTCCCGCATGTCATCCAGCCCAAGCCAGAGATCACGGCTGGAAGCAGCGGTCCGGCGCTCAAGACCAAGCCGCGCTTTGATTTTGCCAACCTGGCCCTGGCGGCCACGCAAGAAGATCCGTCCAAGCTTGGCCGTGGGGAGGGTCCCGGCTCCCCGGCAGGGGGGCTGGGTGCTCTCCTGGATGTGACCAAGCTGTCCCCGGAGAAGAAACCCACGAGGGGACGGCTGCCTTCCAAGACCAAGAAGGAGTTCGTCTGCAAGTTCTGTGGTCGCCACTTCACAAAGTCCTACAACCTACTTATCCACGAGCGGACGCACACGGATGAGCGGCCCTACACCTGTGACATCTGCCACAAAGCCTTCCGGAGGCAAGACCACCTACGGGACCACAGGTGCGCACTGGTGGCGGGTGGGCGAGAGCTGTCCCTTTGCTTCTGCCCTCCCCTCTCCTCTCTAACGAGAATGTTCCTAATACTCCTCCTCCCTCCCCATCTTGCCCCAGGCTCTGTGCTTCCTGGAATTCCCTAATCCTGCCAGGTTCCGCGATGATAAGTCTGGGAGCAAGTGTGCCTGCCCAGAATAGAGAATATGGGGGTAAAAGGGACCCGAGACTAAGCTAGGTCTCAAGAGCTCCAGACCAGCACCCAAGGCTTCGCCACTCTTTCCTCCATTCTTAGAGCTGTCCAGTGGCAGTGTCTACAATGACAGAAACTGGGACGCGTGGCTGTCGAGAACTGGAAATAAACCATTAGTATGGCAGAGAAACTAGTGTGTTAGTTTTAATAAACACATGTAGCTAGTACCTACCTTCTCAGACAGCACTGCACTAGCAAACTGCACCCCAGTCCCCTCATTTTTAGTGTTCACCCAGACCTCATAAGGAGCCCTGCTTCTCCCAAGTTTCTTGGACTGGCTGGACCAAGATCTAGTTCACCCCTGTCTCCATCCACAAGCTCAGCATTTTGCCTGCTACACAATGCATCCACCCCCCTGCCTTTCTCTGAAGGGGAAGCTCTCCTAGCAATGGGGACAGCCCTTGGGCAACCCGCTTGTAACACTGCGAGTTATTTTGCGAGGACTCATGCTCTGTCTGTTTCTGCCCTCAGATATATTCATTCCAAAGAGAAGCCTTTCAAATGTCAGGAGTGCGGAAAAGGATTTTGCCAGTCCAGGACTCTCGCTGTCCACAAGACTCTACACTCACAGGTGAAGGAGCTCAAAACCTCCAAGATAAAATGCTAAACGGAGCCTCCCGGTCACCACGAGGACCCTGGGTCACGCCGCCCCCTCTTCCGGAGGGACTAGAAGCCAGACGACTCTGGCGGGCCTCGGGAGGGGCTCGGGATCTTCCCCCATCCGAAACAATGTCCCCTGAGTCCCGGGCACACGCAGAACTCCAGAGCCCCAGCCGGGGTCACGACCCCGGCGGCTCGGGGCGGCTCCCCCAGGACGCGGCTAAACTCTTGGCCAAAAGGCGGTACTCACGTGGCGGAAGGGGAATTGCATTTAAAAAAAAAAGAAAGAAAGAAAGAACGAAAGCTCCGTGCAGCCGCCGCGGCGCCTCTCCCAGAAGTATTACTTTTTCTATTGTTATTTTATACGTTTTCTTTACTTTTTTTTCTTTGACCATATAAGCTTGTAAGTCTGACTGCGGGAGAGAGGGGAGAGGAAAAGTTCTGCGCGCTCGCTTGCAGCTTCCACCCCTCCTCGCGCGCCCTCCCAGCCCCACCCCCGGGAGCCTGCAAAAGTGTAATCCGTGTATCTGCTTCGCCGCCCGGCCTGGGACCGCTGGCCCCGGGCGCGCCCCTTCCC